GATGAGCATCCAGTGCCGCTGCAGAGGACGAACACTAACAACAGACCTCACCTTCTCCAAACTGCAGCTGAAGCAGGACTTTATGATGATTTCCACACCTCTAATAGTTTTTCAGATTGTTTACCGTACAATGAAATTGGGTCGTGTCCATTCTATACACAGTAGAAGGATTTTTATGACTGAGTCAGTTGTGTTCATTCGTAATTGGTTGAAGGCTAAATGACAGTAAAAGTCCCTAAATAGCATATCCTTTGGGAGCAAAGACAACTGACGGATTCCTGGAAAATGCACCAAAGGATGTACTGGGACATGAACCTCTCTCATCCTCTCATTATGTTCCACTTAAAAGGAGAATAGTTTAAATGTTCAAGCTGTGTTGGCAGCAAACATTCAAATCTAGAATTTTAGCTGATACTGCATAAAAATTTCTTGGCTTGTGAGTCAGAGCTGACCCCTGCTTGTTATGTTTGTTTGCAAAAAGCTATCTTAAGACTAAGATGACTAGCGGATTACATTGGTGACAATGTCCACTTTTTTTAATACAGTCTATGATTGCAATCAACTGCTTAAGCCATGCATTCCCAAGAAACTACAAAGTTATCAGTGTTTCTCTTGTTCATTCTGCCTTACTGTAGAAACAAGCAGTGTTGGGTGTAACAGATTACAAAGTAACAGATTACTGTAATCACACTACATGTTCAGCAACACAGTAATGTAGCATGTTACTGAACTAAATTCAGTCATTTCATTACAGTTTAAACGTTGCCACTGCTTGTGTTATAAACTGCGTTCTTCAGTCATCTGCACACAGGTGGATAAAAAAAACCCATCTAACAAACTTTTTTTTTCTGTGCACTTATTAAAGTATTCTGATTCTGATTCTGATTCTGATTCTGATTCCAATTCTGATTCTGATTCTGATTCGCGCCACAATCAGCCAATTTCAGTTCTTGTGCAGGAGGAAAAAAGGTTGTGGGGTGATACAGCCTTTGAGGAGTGGCTATGCATCCTCTTATTTTTATTGCATTTTAATGAGTAGTGTAATGAATTACTAATGAATTACTAAGTAATGAATTACAAAGAAAGTAATTAATTGCATTGCATTACTTCAAAGAAAAGTAAAGAGTAATATATAATACTTTACTTTTTAAAGCTGCATCTCCTTAGACACCTTTTACATTATAAAGGGACTTATTTTAGCCTAACTAACACAACAACAATTTGCTGTTATACATTAATGAAGCAAAGCTATAAATACTACATTTCATTGTGCTACTACAGTAGCCTATAGGTCCGTTAAATTAATGCATTATTAGCATTATTTCCCATATGATCATAACTTAGATGGTGACAAGTTAAAGGAAAAAAAGCAACACTCAGTGACTTGAGTAAGGTGTTGTGTCACCATGTACAACCAGAACAACGTCAGTGCACTGTAATATTGATTCTCCACGTCTGTGGATCTGTACTGGATTAAGAAGAACATCATTCTTCTTAATTATTCCCTCTTTTGGTGTTTGGAATATGGTGATGGAGAGTGCTAATGTGTTCAACAAGTTTGATATTATACTGTATTTTAAGTGACCCCAATTTATCTGCAGTAACCCAACAAAACAACCCCCCGCCCTTAAGAGAGTAGTCAGGTCCAAGTATACTTACTGATATCGATAATATACATATATGGAAGAGCTTGTCATCTGCTGTCGGGTCACATGGTAAAATAACTCTGCGACAAAAAGAAAATAAAGAATAAAACCATCATTAAAATATGTGCAAAGTAAGCATAAAACAAGTCAAACCACCACATCTCAGCACTTTCCTGACCTTGTTGATGTACCAGGACCCCACCTGTGCAAATAATCAATGCTTATGGCCCCATTTGACACCTTTGACTCAACTTTTTTATACTCACTCTTTGGGTGGTTTTGTAGGCTCTGCGTTGTTTGAGTACCAGTCTGAATAGTCATAATAGGAATATTGAAAAGGCTCAACTCCCTCTTTGCTCTGATTCATTGCAGCTGTTTAATCAAGTCATACAGGTGAAGCAGGACAAATAAAGATCCAGAGGACTCCTCCTGGTCCAGCTCCAGTCAGCAGTCTGTTGGTGCTGCTGCAACGTGTCAGGACAGCTTGGCCCAAGAACCCCAACACATTCCAGTCCAGCTAATAACTAAACGCAGCAGATTAAGGGCTGCACAGAAGGGAGGGAGAGTGGAGCAAGGTTTAACATTCACGTGAAATGAAGTGGAGGAACAAATGTTTTAAACCTTGCCACTTGATCATTTAAAAGTGATTCATAGAATAACATTTGGTCAAAGACAATGTAGCATCGCGTTTAGGGATTTAATTAACAGTCAAGTTAACAAAAAAAAAGTATTGTTGAGTTTGGTGGTGCAGATATTTAAATGGTTAGTAAGTAATAAGTCTGAGTCCAGTAAATTCTTCACATCTGGCTGGTACCCTTTCTACAGTGAAACACGCTGATGGTAGTATCATCCAATGGGAGTGCTACTCAATAACAAGACTACAGTCAGGAGCCATGTATTAGGCACAATTACTTTTCAGCACAAATATGAATTCAGCCAGTCACATGGGAGAAACATCAAACTGAGCATCAAATTAGGTTGTCGTTTGGTTGTTGCCAGACACACTGGTCCAGCTATTGCTGCTCATCTAATGGGACATCTCATGATCTTCACCTACGACTCTATGGGTTTGTCATTCAGATTAGGTAATGTTATTTTTGCACAGCAAATGGCACCAACCTGTTTGCCTCCCTCCGCTTGTTACTTAACAGACTAATCTTTTAAGATGAAAATCTCTCACTGAAACAAAGGCAACCTTTGTGTGAACGAGTGACAGAAAGGTGAAAATGAGAATGGGACACGTTACGTAAGGACCTCAACTTAAAGTTTTATGAAATAAAAATGAGACAGAAAGAAACCATGTGATGAGCATCCAGTGCCGCTGCAGAGGACGAACACTAACAACAGACCTCACCTTCTCCAAACTGCAGCTGAAGCAGGACTTTATGATGATTTCCAGTGCTCATGCTGTGTATCTTAAAAGAAAATTTAATGGCACCATTTGAGTCGAAGCATATTTTGCTGGGAAATCTGGTGCCTGTGGGAGCTGAAAGTGTTTTAATCTGGACTGGTGAGTTTCCGTCATAAGGCTGCAGAGGGCCAACTGATCTGATCCAAAGACTGGGACTGTAAGGGCCTGGCACTGGATCCAGATGGCTCAAATGCTGCTATTTCAACATAGAAAAATCTCCACAGATGTGCTGGATGCTGTTCTTAACTTCTTAAACTCCAGACTTCAAGCTCAGTTTCAGCTTAGAATTAAAAATATTCGTGTTAAAATAAGAGTTTTCAGTTTCTTGCTCTTTAAATTCAGCTTACAGGCATAAAAAAACAAGTTTGATGTCTCTATGAAATGCAGCAGGGGTCCACTTCCTCTCCTCTGCTGTGTCTCTTTGATAGTGGCAGTGTGTTTGAATGAAAAGGTAAAGAAATACTGACTGACGTTTCTTATCAAGCTGACATTTGGCTGAGGTACACCAACGCTCATTTAAACCACATAGAACTCATCATTTCAAACCTCATTTCAAGGTGGAATTTACTTCATTTTAATAATACTGTTATAAGGTCACTGTGTAGATGGCAATGTGAAGACACGTGGTACAGAGTGTAAAGATCCTACTACTTCTTGATGTAGTCAGGTGTCTGACTACAGTCTGGTCAAAATATTTTTGTTTGTTTGTTTACCTTTTAAATATTGGAAGGGTGACAGTCAGAGGCATAGAAATACATGGGAGTATAATACATATACTTATATATTCAAATGTGTATTTGTATTTTGAATTTAATGCTTTTCACAAAAAAGACAAAATACATTAAGCAGAAATAACATAATAATGAGCAGTTACAGCATGATAACTGATGATAAGTTGTAACTGTTACTTTCTGTGACCCGTGTTTCAGTCATGTGTCCATGTTTGTTTTGTCTAAGTGTGAGGTTCCTGTGTTATTTTGAAGGTCCCCTTATCCTGTGTGCATTGTTTTCAGTTTAACTGCTTTTGTTTCCTCTTCCTTTATCGACTGTATACCAGCTGTATCTCAGTCCATCCTTCAGAGGCTGCATTTGAAGGCCGATTACGTCACAGCAACGCAACGTAATTTGAAGGCTGCTCCAAATGCAGCCGACAAATGCGTCCTTCATTTCCCCGGATTTGAAGGATGGGTTGGGTGTATCCTTCCTGGCCCAACCTATCCCAGAATTCATAGCACGGCCCAGCCAATTCCAGTTTCCAACAATGGTGGCAGCTACTTAGTTGTAAAATTACTCTTATTACTCTTTACAATACTTTATTAATTAAGTTATTATTCCTAATATTTCCATAATAATATAAAAATACTTTTCAAATGCGGCAATGGTGAAGAAGTGCGGCTAACGAGTTTGAAATATTACTCTTTCTGGGTCACAAAATAAACTTTTAACATATTTTCAGGCTAGAATGTGTGTAAACTGCAAATATCTGCTCGATTTATCAAGACATCACATATTTGCAAAAGTGCTCCAACGTTTTCTGAGACGTCTGTTACTCACCAGCTCGATAGCTGACCGGGTGGCCAAGGCTCACTAGAGCCGCCGAGAACACCGGACTCCCGGCACATCGTTTTCAGACCCTGCGCGGTTTTTCACTACTCAGGTTAAACATGATATATAAGTCACTTAGATAACTTAAAAATGTTATTGATTGGATTTTTTCAGTGTTCTATTTGTTCCCGAGTAAATCAGTTTGGCTGAGATTAAAGTTTCATACAGCTGAATAAACATCAAACAGAAAACTGATTAAACAGAAAACTGATTAAACAGTGTGAGATGGAAGAGAATTTACTCCAATGTCCTGTTATATTTTAGATAGCAAGGAGCAGACGGCTCAGTTTATTAAACTCCACCGAGACAGCTGGCGAGGCAAATCTGAAGGCTAGACCATCCTACTTCACAGCCTCACTTTCGGCCTTCTCGGTCTTCGGAGGATCTGGCCCATGTAGACCGCGAAGGCCGGGTCCTCCGAAGAATGCAGCCCCTGAAGTGAGACACAGCTATTGTCTCGGTGTCCCTTTGCCCTTTGTTGTGTTGTCCCTCATTCCTGCTTGCTGAGTGTCCTCATGTTCCAAGTGTCTTGTGTAGTTTCCTAGTTAGCAAATTCCTAGTCTCTCCCTAGTTAAGTTCTTTTCTATTTTTGATCCTTGTGAGTCCAGCACAAAAAGCTGTATTTTGAGCTCAGTGGCGATTCTGAGTCCTGCACATTGGCTCCTAATCTTGTCAGTAACACAGCAATATATACCTGTCAAAAAGCTGCAAAAGAATTCAGAAGCATTTCTGTCCCGTATTTGCAGACAGTTTGGACTGACAGAAATCTGTCAGTCTAAACTGTCAGTGTGTGTTCTGCAACATTCACACTAAAATTTGAGTGAAAATGGTTCATCTGGAGTAAAAAAAGTGAAAAAGTAAAAAGTGTTTTTGCTTCTACCAGTAGTCTTAAAGATGTCTCACCAATGTTTTTTGGTTTTGGTTTTTTCGTTGGTTGTCACTGAGAAAGTGGGTGGAAAGGTGTCACATACATGATGCTGTCATTCCAACACGCCAAAATAATGAAGTTTCACTTAAGGCTGAATGACAATGTTTTCAAATGACTCCACAGCTGTATTTAAGAGAAACAATAAGAAAATTGATACAGTTAATGCTTAACACAAAGACATAAAGTGAAATGTCACTCTCCACGTCTGTGGAAAGCAGTAATGCTGATACGCCAGTATAAGCATTAGTCTTACTCACACTTTGCTTAATTTTTGTAATTCTAATTTAAATAGGAGGTACAGATTAAAGGGGCTCAACTTACATCTTAGTCATCTTTTTTATTATATTCATTGTGTGTGAGAGTGTGTTGAAGGATCTGTGTATTAACCAGACAGAAGAGGGCACTGTTTCATGGTTTCGGTGCAAGCTCTTAGTAACATAGCAAGTATACTGAAAACATTCATGTTCCATAGAATTAAAGCAACAGGTATATTTTTGTTTTTTCTTCTTTGTTTTTACTTTTTCAAGGCGTAACAACATAAATACAACAGTCACATTAATGTCAGCAGGGCCACACACACTTTACCAAACAAATTACACTATTACCAAACAAAGTATTTTTATTGAAACAAACAACAACAACAAAACTAGTATGACCATGACTTCAAATCAGAGACTCTTGATATAATACAAAGAAAACGCATTATGACAAAAACTGAACTGAATTTTCTTCTTTGTCAAATTAACTGATGTGGAAGTGACAAAAGAAGACAATAAAGTGGCCAAAAAACAACAGCATGCAGAATCTCTTGTATATATACAAAGCAAATATCTGTCAGTCATCATCCCATCCAAAGCAGGAGATTACTGATGACTGCATGGGTTTCTCTGTGATACTTTTAGTTTTTGAACATGTCACACAGCAATTTCTCCATGGGAGTGTTTCCAATGGTTCTGTGGAAGAACAGCAGCTCTATCCGCTCAGAATTCACAAAGCGCAGAGAGGGAAGGAGAAGAAGCAGCTTTCCGAACCTAAACACAAAGATCATAATAAAATTAAGGCCATGTCAAATGATTTAAAGCAAAAGCCTTTCACATTGTAGAATCAGTTAAAAAGAGAAATCAGTTTTTTATATAAAACCTTAAATTAAGGATGCTTGTCATGAAACAGAATGAAGGAATGAAGGTTACTTTCAAATCCAGAAATTAACTTTTAAACATAATAAAGAACAAGAATTCTGTGTTTTGTTGTAAACACACTGGAGTTTTGTTTTGTGTTTTGTCATTTTGTTCCATTGAATTGGTGACCTTTATCAGGTAGGTTGTTACCTGGCTGGTTGGCTAGGGTAGTGTGACCGTATGTGTTGTCCCAGCATGACTTGCGACTGATCCTGCAGGTTCTCCACTTGTTCTGGATCTTTCAAACCTCGAGTCTCTGTGAAGCAGAAGAAATACTTTATGGAATTTTTGCTTTCTAGGGAAAACTGTTCCTGACAAAAATTGTATAACATTCCATGTAATAAAAAAAAAGACTCTATAATTTCGATGTACCATACTGATGGGCATCATAATTATAAAGTGATGATATGATTACTAAATGACATGTACGGTAATATAGTGATCTTAATTAAATAAAACACACTGAGGGAAATTTTAGCCTCTGCGTGGTGCTTATCTCTTGAAAACAATGACAGTGGACATAGCTAAGTACTGTGATCATGTTAAAGGTAATCTGCCAGACTGTAGACAAGCAACTGAATAGTGTTTTGTTCCTCACCTGGCTTGAAGAGCACAATGGCCTTCAGGCAGGCGAACTCGGTAGGATCAACAGCGAGGGCCTTGAAGCGGCTGAAGACCTCCTGTAGGAGGCGCAGGTCCAGGCTAGTGTAGCTGGTTTTTCCCTGCATGCCAGGGCAGAGGTCTGGCAAAGACAGCAGTGGGCAGCTGTCTAGTGGCAAAGACCACTGGATGGCGCAGAGGAGGAAGAGTTCACTCCATGCTTCCTCCAGCAGGATGACCTGGTGAAGAAGAAAAACCAGAAACTGAATATGCACCCCTGTACTCAGCTTCACTGTCGACCCAAAGAAATCACAAAGAAAAACTATAGATGCTCATTCCTGACATTCCCTTTTATTGCAGAGCCAATCACATTGTAATGTTGTCAAACAGGAATGGGACCACTAATTCCGTGTTCACTTACTTATTTATAGTCAGACAGTATTTGTGGTACTGTTAAATGTCATATTGTCATTTCATGATGCTGAATGTGCTTTGTGGTCATTGTGGCCATGTCATGAATGTCATGAACATGAAGTTACATCAACATATGTAATCCTGTAAGCACATAATGACATTGGTATTTGGAATTTACAGATAAAAATAATAATTTCTCTCTTTTTCTGTCATTGTCGCATATAAAGATAAATCATGATTCAATATATTTTTAGATATAAAAGAGACATCTGAATTTTATTTTTTTTTATCTCTGTAACTTTAATTTGTCTTTTATCATTATACTTTTTTTTCTAACAAGAATAGAGGTCAATTTTAACCTATTAAAAATAGTTACAAATGCAAAGTGAAAAAGTTTATAGAGACTATCTTTAAGAAAACAAACAAAAAAACCCTCAGTTTCAGCTTACCTGGTCTCTGAAGGGCAGGTTGGAGAAAACGGGCAGGTTCTTGGCCCATTTCACGGACATGAAGAGAAGCCTTGCTGAGGTCTCGTATACATTTTCAGAACCAGACGGGTACAAAGCCATGTGGTACTCTGAAGACGCCCGCTCTGGTTCATTGCTGGTCACATCTATGTTTTCATCAACTGAAACAGAAAAGATGAGCTCAGAATCAAGAGTGCAGAGGAAAAAAACCAACTTGTTGCATAGACAGATGAAACTAAACTTCAGGTAGTTGTGATGAGCTTCAGTTCAGGTTAGATTAGACTTTATTACTATGTAATAAAGTCATAAAATTTGAGCTCCAGCTGAAAGTCAGCAGCTGCCCATATGGACAAAAAAAAAAGTCTCTCTAAGACTAAAGAACATGTCATCATAGTTTCACATGTTAGCATTTTGTACATGCTACTACTTGCCTGATGTTTGCTAAATAGTAACTTTAAAATATTAAATTGAATTAGAAGAATATTTAAGCAGAGTTGCAAATTTGGTTAGCTAGTAAAGATAGTGATCACTCCAGAATGGGATTGATCATCATGGTGATCTCATCATGCTCCGGTAAGTGGAGATGTAACCATGACAGATTTGAAATCAACCCCACCTTCTTCACTGCCCACCTGATAACACCCTCTTATGCTCTGCTTTTTGTACTGAACCCCAATTATTTGCGTTTTACCCAAGAATATGTGTTTTCTAACCATCATTTCCCCTGCAAGTCCTAATGTGAAGGAGAAAGCTTCACCTTAAATTTACAGCAAAAACCTTTCTTTTGACAACTGTTGCTCACCATCCTCAGGCTCCAACTTGGCACAGGTCTCAGCTGTCATGAGGCTTGCCATAAAGCGGTGGTTGTTCTGGGGACTGATGCAGCGCTGGGTTGCAACAGAGGAAGTGATGGACATGGAGGAGGTGATGTGGGGCCACGTGATGACGGAACCATTGGAGGATGATGAAGAAGATGAGGAAGAGGAGGAGGAGGAAGAGGAGGTGGGTTCCCGTGTGGTGGCCAGGTGCTCCTTCTCCGGGTCCACATCGATGGAGTCCAGGCGGACCTGAGCTGTGCTGCGGGGCTGCCGCTCGTTCTGAACCGCTGCAGGGGGGAGACAGAAAGGCGCAACCTGTTATCTAAGGTGATAATACAGGAATGATTTTAACCTCTCACAGGTTCATGTTTGAGTTCCACTGGACACCAATCAGTTTAATGAAGCTCATGAATGCTAAAACGACTCACCGTCCTTATTCATGCCTGCCTGCAGGCACTTTTTCAGCCGACATGCCTGGCACTGGTTACGATGAGCCTTGTCCACTGGACACATGCCTGTACCGGCCTGGCACCTGTTAACCAACAGTCACGCATTTTAAAGGGAGAGTCCACTCAAAATGACAAAATAACATTCACTTATTTTCTTGTGGCTTACAGAATATTGAAAGCAGTAAGAACATAATAATTACTAAAGATCAGAATGTATATGGAAAATGTCCGAATTCTGAATAAACCAGTGTGGTTAAGTCCTT